TTTTTTTATATTTGTCTAAAAAATCATTAAAATCTGTTTCTTCCTCCAAAGTATTTGCTGTACTCCTACTATTGAGTACTTTGTATTGAAGAGAATAATCAAATACATTGAGTTTTCTATCACCAAGAGATTTTTGAATATATAAATGAATTTTTTCAATAACATTATCAAAATCAACTGGTGAAATTATTAATGTTTTAGCAGTATTATTTTTTTGTTTGTTTTCAATTATAATAGATAATTTTAGCTCTTCTATCTCACTTGAAGTTGTAGCTACATCATCGGAACCATTATCTTGTAACAATATTTCTGCTGGATTATTTTTATCTTTATATTTTGCTCTTTGATATTTATTATTACATGCAGAACAAAGTGTATAAGAAAAGGATGAATTAAAATCAGTTCCATATTGGAATTTTATATTAGTATTTTGAAGTAATTTACTAACTTGTGAAAAAGATATATCTGGAAAAAAGGTACGAGGATAAAATTGTTGACCAGATAATGTATTTTTAACTTTAAAAGGACAAATATTTTTATTACATATACAATTTTTTTTGTCTATTTCAAAACAATATAGGTATTTTGAGCAAATATAATAACCACCTAATTGATAAATAGTTGAGCCTTTAGTTTTTTTAGGAGATATTTAGTATAAAACAAGAGAAATAAAAAACAAATGATCTTTAAATTTAAGCGCGAAACTTAATTTTAATAAAAATTTATTGGATGATCTGAAACGTGATATAAATTTTTATGAAATTTTATTGACTTAAATTTGAAGATCATGCACGTGATATTGTTTATTTAGTATTCGAATACCAATCAATTATATTATCAAATTTTCACATGATCACATAATTTTACAAAGAGCGATAAATAATTAACTGCAACAATTATGTATTTGTTATCTCGTAATGTTTGGGGCAAGGGTCCTACAATATCGATTCCTATCCTTTTAAAAGGTTATCCTACAGATATAGGATGAAGAGGTTCAGTCCTTTTTGGTCATCCGAATCGTTGGCAATTATCACATATTGATACATATTCTTTAATGTCCTTATACATTTGTGACCAATAATATTTATCTTTTAGTTTTTGAAAAGTTGTATCAGTTCCTAAATGTCCTAAGGTAGGATGACTATGTATAATGTTTAATAAGGGTTCTAATTCTTCTCTATAGATTACTTTGATAAGTTGTTTGTTAGGTTTTCGTGACTTTTTAAATAATTGATTGTTTGATATAGTAAAATATTGTGTTTGAGAGTTTAACCGTTTTCTATCTTGTTGTGAAAAATTTGAAGGGTATTGTTGAGTATTTAAATAATTATAAATAGTTTGATATTGTTCGAATTCCATGGTGGATAATAGTTTTGATAGGACACCGACTATCTAGACTGAATTGAGCTTATTGTCGGACTTTCAATAAATTTATAATTTCTGTATTAATTAAAGTCTGGATAATGCATCCACGTTTTTATTTTCTTTTCCTGGTCTATATTTAATTTCAAAATTATATGATTGTAATCTGAGAATCCATTTGGCACATCGTCTTCTCATTGAACTAGTATGTAGCCAAGTTAAGGCAGAATGATTAGTAATAATTACGAAGGGTTTTATTCTCAAATAATGATGGAAATGTTCAACTACCCAAATTATCATTAAACATTCCAATTCAGTGATGATATAATTCTTTTGAGCTCCTTGTAAGCTCTTATTTGCATAAGTAATCACCTGCTCAAGACCTTGGTTATTTAGCTAAGTTAATATTGCACCAAGTTCTTAAGACAATCCATCGGTCAGAAGATAAAAAGTTTTATCAAAATCGGGATGTACCAAAATAGGTGAAGTTGTTAATTTTTCCTTGAGAGTGTCAAAGGCTACTTGATGTTCCTTTTTCCATTTAAAAGATGTTTCTTTTTGAGTTAGTTGATGTAAAGGTCGAGCGATTTTTGAAAAGTCGTGAATAAACTTCCTATAATAAGAAGCTAATCCTAGAAAGTTTTGGACTTTTGTTACATCCTTAGGTCAAGGGAAGTATTGTACTTTTTCAATTTTTGCTGGGTCAGTAGTGATGCTTTGGTCACTAACAATATGACCTAAAAATTCAATTTGTTTCTTCAAGAAGTGACATTTATCAAGACCTAATTTAAGACCAGCAGCACGTAACTATTTTAATATTTCTTTTAATTTTTCCAGGTGTTCTTCAAATGTTTTGGAATAAATATTAATATTATTTAAATAGACAATAACACCTTTATATAATAATCCATTAAAAACTTGATTCATAAGTTGTTGGAAAGTAACTGGAGAGTTGGTTAACCCAAATGGTATTACTGTGAATTCATAGGTTCCTTGTTTCACAATAAAAACAGTTTTCTTTTTATCACTAAGGTCCATTTCAACTTGCCAGTATCTACTCGCTAAATCAAGAGTGGTAAACCATTTTGCATCTTGCATTACGCTTAACATATCATCTACACGAGAGATGGGATAAGCATCCTTTTTTATAAGGGCATTCACTTTCCTATAATCAATACATAGATATTGTTTTCCATTCTTTTTGCCTACAACATTTACTGGAGAAGCCCAAGGGCTAAAGGATTTCACAACTAGTCTTTTTTGTAGTAGTTATTGGATTTCTTCCTCTATAAATTGTTCTTCAATCGAATTGGAACGGTAAAACTTCTGCTTTACAGGTTTCTCAATCCCAGTGTCAATTTTAAGTTGAATAATATTTATTTGTCCTAATTGACTAATATCTGTTACAAACATATCTTAATTCTTTTCAAGTAACTGATTAAATTGTTCTTGTTGTTTAGTACTTAAAGTACCAATATTCAATTCAGTTTTAACTAATGAGTCTCCCATCATTACTAGAATTTCATCTAAAATTTCCTTGTCATTATCACTATCACTTTCAGATTCTGATTCCGAATTACTTTCCTCATATTCAGACTCAATAGAATCTGAACTATCACTTTCTGTATCATTTTCAATTTTCTTTTTTTTATTATCATCACTCTCATTTTCATTCCCTTCAGAAAGATTCATTTCCTCTTCAGAATATTCAATATAGTCTTCAAAAGTTTCATCTTCATCGTCTTCCTCAATTTCAGAAGATTTATTTTCATGCTAGTTATCACTTTCAATTTCTTCATCCTATATTTCACTTTCCTCTTTACTAGTAGTTTCAGGAATTTCTGCTAAATTTTTTCGTATACAGAAGGCAGGTAAAACCAAGTGTTGATTTCTCCATTGTAAAGTTAACTCCTGACTTTGCCAATTATAATTTCCATTGACTTTTAACAATTAATTATTTTCTAAAATGAAGGTATAGGTGGTTACTTCAGTTACTTCGACATCAACAAGAATAGTATATCCTACGACAGTAACTGGAAAATCTCTAATAACTCCCAGGAGTCAAGTACCTTCTCCAATAGCAAGTAGAATTACACTGTTTGAAAGTTCATCTATGGAATACCCTAATTGTTCCATTGTGTCTCACATAATTATACTTACAGCAGCACCACTATCAACAATGGTAGGTACTGTATAACCATTAATATCAATGGTACATTTGAGTAAGATGACTCGTGGTCAATATTCTTGGTCAGCTGTCTTTACATCTACTTTTCTAGATACTTTTAAATTCTTCATAGGAGTTCGTTTCATCCCAGGGAGTTGGAGTAATTGAGACCAAGTAATTTCAGCTTCCTGTTTTTGCATTTGTTCAGCAATGTCAAATTCTTTTGTACACAATAGTCAGGGTATTTTCTTCTTTTCAGGTTTAGTAGATTTCTTTCTCTCAGGAAATGATTTCTTTTTATTATTCTTTTTGGTAGGTTTGGTTTTATTTTCAGTTTTGAATTTTTCCTTTTGGAATGGAATTCCAAAAGTATTTACCTCAGGGATTTTAAAGTAATCTCCTATTCGAGATTTCTTTGTCTCCTCGTCAGTACTATTTTCATCTCGTTCACGTTTTTTCAAGTAAACTTCTAAGAGTTGATTTAATAACTCTTCCTCTCCACGATTTGAACAGAAGAAATCATATAAAATAATTATACTAATTTAAGGGTACTAATAGAAATAGGGAGGGGAATAATTGCTAAACTAATTAATCGTATCTCACAGTCACCACCAAATTGTTAACCTTGGTTTACCTTCTAAAGAAACCAAAGAAAACT